CAGAGGGTGATTAACTCCCTGATAGCCATAGTGGAGGCCATGGTTCCTAATCTACTGTGGAGCTTGCGTTTCCCTTGCGTATTTATCCATCTCTTACTGGTTTCTTGACAATCTCATACAAGCTTTTCTTGCTTGCCTAACTGAAGATCAGAATCTTCTTACTTATTTTGCCCTTCTTTGTTCTTTTAGGTATTTTCACTTTTACAATACAGGACTGCAGAATCAGCGAGTATTATATGTACAAGACTCCTTGGATGCTGATGCCAAAGTTTTTCTGGATCCAAATAAGCTTTCTGATGATGGCACTGTGGCTTTACGAGGTTGGTGAGAAAGAAGTTCCTACTGAACAAGCTTAGGTCTTCAGCAGAAGCTGAAAATGGCTTGCAGCTCTTCACCTCTAAAAGTATGGTTCGAGTGGTTTGTTTACATCAAAATAGTCACGATAACCGTAGGTCAATTTGTGAAGAACGCTTCTAAACCTACATTGTGTTCACAGTTAACTTGGTTCAGTTTCCTGAGATCTTTTTTCGCGTGGTTCACAGTTTTCACAACTGTGGATGGAACAGGATTCCACTGAAACATGGACTAATTTTGAGGCTGCTCACAGCTTGGAAAAAGGGTTTATGTATTGATATTGACTAGTTCACTTGAAATTCTGACATATATGAATCAGTTTGCATTTTTAATACAAGCCAGCAAGTTGAGGTAAGAGACCATGAAGAAACATAGCATAAACTTGTCAAAATGACTTGTGTTCACCAAGACTTTACTTCATGTTAGCTGTCCGTTTTCCCGCTCCTCGCTAGCTTACTGTGGAAGCGGGACTCTTGGACGTCAAAGTCCTTGATGTCTGTACAAGGCCAGACAGTAAAAGCTGGACAAAGGATAGGAATAGTGGCAACTTCCTTAAGTATGATCTGATTTAAAAGAATCAATGTGACGTTTTTAGAGGAAAGTCCTGCCTTACAGAGTGTATATGAAGGATTGGGTTCATATAATCTTGCTAAATTTCTGAAAAAGTTTAGAACAAAGTCTCTTTCCAAATGCGTTCAGAGAAACTTCTTCCATGGAACAAGAGGGAGAGTTGTCCTTGCATTGCTAAATATTTGATTCAAAGGCAGGGACAGGAATAACTGATCAGCTCTCAGGTGGGAATCACCAGTGGAGTTCTGTCTGAGTCGACGCTAGTACTTGCGCTGCTCAGTATGTTCATAAACGAAATAGAAGAGGGGCTGAGTAGTGAGGTGGCAGAGTTTGGTGGTGACACAAAGTTATTCCGGTAAAGGCTGAAGAGTGGTTGGGAAGAACTGCAAAAGTGAGTGGGCAATAAATCGACAGGTAAAAGTCAGTGCAAATAAATAACACACGGGAGACAAACAATCCTAACTTAATTCGTAGAGGAAAGGATTCTGAGCTGACCATTACCGCTTGGGAATGATTCTTAGGGTCACGATAGATGGTTCTATGAAAATGTCAGCTTGTTTCTCACTAGTGGCTAAAAAAGCGTATCCAGTGTCAGAAATGATTAGAAGGAAATAGAGAACAAAGCAGAAAACATCATGATGTTGGCAACCCAGGAGTTTTTACAGTAGCACTGAATACTGTATACAGTTCTGGACCCTTCAGCTTGGGGTATAGTTCAGAGAAGGGCAACAGGAACAATCAAAGGTATAGAGCAACAATCGGGAACGGCCAAGTGTACCAGGAACCATCCGTTTGGAAAAGAGCTTAGCAGGGGTATGATAGAGACTATAAAATCCTAAGTGATGTGAAGTAGCATGCAGAGAGTGAATAGAGGATGGATAGTCGTTGTCTTTTTAAGTACAAGAATGAGGGGATGTCAAATGAAGGCAGTGGGAATGAAGTCCACAACAAACAAAAGAACGTGATTTTTCATGCTGTAAGAACCTCTTAACGTCAGTGTGTAACCTCGGTGTACGTTGTTGATGCAAAAAGCTTAATTGGGTTTTAAAGGGAAGCTAGATATGGTCAAGGAGGAGAGAACCACTGAGGATTATTTGCCATCTGCTTCAGGGATGGGAAGCCTCAAAAGCTGGAAGGTTCTGAGGCTGTAAGAATACTTCAGGGAAATATTACATGTACTTGCACTGTTCTTACGCTTGTAGACAGCTCCGTATTGTTACTGTTGAGCACGGTTGGGTGGAATCGTGTTCTGAATCAGAATAGCCATTCTTATGTGGATGAATATGTTAAGGTTTCAAAGCTACAATTTCTATGAAATGCAAGGGGGTTTTTTGCCTTCCCCCCCCCACCCCCCAGTAGTTACTTTCAGGTCTATTCAGGCCTATGATAATTCAGTCTTTTCACTATGCACTATGCTTGAGCTGATTTGAAAGAGTGAATTTGATCCTTGTCAATTATGATGGAAGCTCTTCTGAATTTTTTTCAGAATCATGTTTTCCTTAAAGTGTGGATAGAACTAATCAAATCTGAGAGCTGAGAATACTGGCATTTAATTCTTTTGCTTAGTAGTGGATTTTTTTTTTTTTTTTAGTTTGGTATTTATGGCTTTGCAGGATCTAGTTTTCAGTGACTCCTGTACTGGAGTGGGAGTTGCTTTATTTGAGAATGTATTCCCTTCATCTCAACTCATGTCTACTTCTTTGGTAATGTTACTTATTTTCTTAGAATCCTGCTTTGTGGTCCATACCTGTATGCATTTTCCCCCTCTACCTCTTCCTCGCAGACTCAGAAAAGTAGAAGAATTGTTACTCGAATCATAATACAGATATTAAGCATAAGCAGCGTTGCTGACAGTACTTCCTGAATATGCATGCCTAAACTTGGATGTGTGAGCTAGTTGAGAAATCTGCAGAGACTCTGGAAAAGTGCTGTGAATCCCAGATGATAGTAGATGCAGTTGCTTGCTCTGTCTTTTAGAAAACAAAACCTCTCCTATCAGTGTTCAATAACGTGGCTCTTTTAACTGCTTCCCTACTTTCACCTATCCTTTGGGATTTGGCTAGCATAGTATATACTGAAAAACTATGTGGCAAAATAGCAAACACTTTTTTGAAAATACTCCTTCTTTGTGTGGTTTCTTACTTCATCTTGTTTGGTTCTGATTTCCTAGGTTATGCATTCAGTGAAGACGGTGAATACTTTGCATATGGCCTGAGTTCCAGCGGTTCTGACTGGGTTACTATTAAGTTTATGAAAGTGGAAGGTCCTGAGGATCTTCCAGATGTATTGGAGAGAGTTAAATTCAGTTGCATGGCATGGACTCATGATGGAAAAGGCATGTTCTATAACTGCTATCCAAAACAAGATGGGAAGAGTGATGGTAAGTATGGCTTTGTGTAAGCAAAGTGCCTTTTTCAATACATTGATGTAATAAAATCCTAGGGCAGTTTGTCACAGAAAGATTCTTTAGTCAAATGACATTACATAGACTCAATTCTTTATGCTGCAGATAGGTTTCTGATGTTATCCCTATGTCTTCAAGAGGAAGCCTAAGTGTATATTTGTGCTTTGTTTCTGTTATTGGGCCTTTGGAAGTAAGTAGCTATACTAGTTTATACAATTAGATACTAGTTTCTGTCCTGTATGACCAGAACATATATTTGATTAGTGTCACGTCCTACCCTGTCTTTTTCATAAAAGTTTGTTGATCCTATTCTTTTTTTCCGCAGTGATTTACCTAGATCTCACACAGGGTGTTGTTGACTGGAATTGGATGTTTTGTGACAATTGACTTGTATCTGTGCCCCTTACGAACTTGTGTAGGTGAACTGCCTTGGGAAGTTGCCCTGATGAAGAACAATCTGGGGCACAAAGGAGGGTTTTTGTTATACAACCAGATTATTCATCTGTGGTTCACTGCACAGCAATTCCAAATGTTTATGCTAGGAAAACTTAGGGAGTAGCACAGGAAGGAGAATAATTTACTGAGGAGCATTAATAGGGAAGCAATCTAGCAGCTCTCTAATAAGGCAGCACTGCTGAGAAGTTTCTTTTGTGGAGCTCTGCTCTTTGTTAAGCCTTGGAGTCAGCCTGGGCTTTGGCCCTATATTTTACTCTTGCAGACTGTGGTTTCGCAAAACTTGCGAGCTAGACACTCGTTTGTGTTATTTACCTTTAAACGTGCTTGTGATTCAGAAGCTGAAGTGTTGCATTGGAAAGTGTTGCAAGAACAAAATTTTAAAAATCAAGAAGTCCTTCATGCAGCATTCTAAAATGCCTCTTTTTGATTTTACCAGATGGAAGTACGAAGGTGTGTACGAATGTTAATTAGCAATAAGTTTCCCCTTAATTGCCTCATATGAGATGGAAACAGAAACATCATTAAAGGGTGTGGGTTTTTGTTCGCTTGTTTAATATTTCTGACAAGCGAAGCCTAAAATGGCAAATCCTCACGTGTGACGAATGTCTTGCCTGCAATAAAGGGAAAGGCTGACTGTTTGGACTGTTTTGCCATGTGGTTTGGAGTTTTGTTTTATTTTGGAGGGCTTTGCTCAGTTCTCCGTGTAGAAGTCAGAATGGTTGTAGACTCAAACTCTTCATAACTCTGCCTGCTGAATGACTCCCCTTGTATGTGAAGGGATACAGAAATTTCTAAGGGTTTATTTTGGATGTTGTTGGATTTTTTTGGAAAACTAATTGATGTAAACATCTGCATTTCCCTAGGCACTGAGACCTCGACTAATCTCCATCAAAAGCTGCATTATCATGTACTGGGAACTGACCAATCAGAAGATATCTTATGTGCTGAATTTCCTGATGAACCAAAATGGATGGGTGGAGCTGAGGTATGGTACCTCTCCTGAAGCTTGTCATCAGTATATTCAGTTTTTCAGATTCTGTCTAACAGCTGGTAGTAGGTATGAGGTGGAAAATATTTTGGTTAAAAGAATACTTTTTATTAGGGTTGGAGTTGACCATTGAACTAAGATTCATCAACTAAAATTTGCTAAAAATAAGACTACAAGTCTATTGTGGAAAGTTCCAGGGAACCCTAATGATAGGTAACCGTGCTCTGTTCTGACTTCCATGAATTGCTCAAAAGACCCTGAGGTTTGTAATTAATGTATGTTTTACCCTTCATATTAGATTTAACAGCATTTCATTAAGTAACTGCACTGTTTTAAGTGCTGTTGGAATTTAGTGATCTTTCTATTAATAAGGGATTGAATGGTTTTCCAAAGGATGATAATATCCTGTTGGTCATTTTTTGTACTCTCTTGGCTACCATGTACTCTCTTGGCTACCATGTTTAATCAGTACACTTTTGCTTCTATACAGGGTCTCTTTTGGCCTGACACTTGTAATGAATGTGGAATATTTTTGCCTTAAGTAGGGTATTCGGTTCCAATAACTACTTTGCTCTGAGAGTATGTCTTTTTAAAAATGTGATCATCAACCCAGCCTTGTTTCTCAACACATCAACCCATGAAAATATTGAGGATTAGTTTTGTTTTATGTGGGCTACCAGAAAACAAAGGTTCAATTGAAGAATATGAGCAGTCAAATTAAAAATCAGACAGTGAACGAGAATGAGACTCCTAAGCAAAGAGACTGCACTGAACTGTCTTTTTATCTGTAGGTTCTGTGAATAAATCTGGTTAGTATAAAGAATCTTTTTACATTATCTCATCTGTTTATTAAAGACACCTTTCCTTCCCAGCTGAATCACAGAATCGTTTAGGTTGGAAGGGACCTCTGGAGATCATCTAGTCCAACCTCCCTGCTCAAGCAGGGACCTCTAGAGCATATCTACAATATCTACATATTGTACACATCTACATACATACCTACAATAATACAGTATCTACACAATATCAGTGTAAACTTGCAAATGGGACTCTGGGTTTTTTGTTTGTTTGTTTGTTTTTTTAACTATTCAAAATGTAATCAGTCTGAGTTATATGGGTAATGAAATGATATTTGTAACCCATTATCCTTATTTTTCCCCAGTTCCATAAATAAATGGGCTTCTTTCTGTTGATAACAGATGTGTTGTGATGATGTATCCACTGATTCACACAAGCAATGCATATTATTATTATTGTTTTGTAGTGTCGTGAGCTAAACTAACGCATGCTGTTGTGAAGGCAAATCCATTTTCATTGTGGGGAGGGGTATTGTGATCTAATTCACTACCCTAAAAAGCTGTATATTCTAATGAAGGTTTGCAGTCTCAGATGGTATGAAATCACCTGGAAAGTGATCTCATCTCCTTATAAAAGATGTAGAGGTGTTCTTGACTTATCGGCTAGGGTCTTGTTTAGCAAACAAGATGGTAGATGCTAACATCCTTCTCTTATCCAAGTTGAAGAAACAGGGCTGGAGCATTTCAAGATCAGCAATGCAGAACTGAGTGTGAGGACCATGGGAAAGTTTTCATAGTGTAGCGCGTGTAGTGAGTAGCAAAGAGTTAGCCTAGCCAGGGCACAGAAGAGCAGCCATCTTGCATCTCCTGACTGTTGTTGAACAAAAGTCTTGAGACGAGCTTAAACAAAAAGAGAAGTGACTTTTATTTCTGATACAAAATATGTCGGGTAATTTTTAAGTTTTTAATGAGAATATATAACCCTTATATTAAATGATCAAAAAATCCTTGGAGTGGGAAGAGAGTGATTGATAGTAATAACTCCTGCTGCAGAACAGGAAAATAATATAATGCAGGGCAGCTACCAGCTCCAAAGTCACCTGGATTGAAACACTCCATGAATAGAAAACACTTTCTTGGGGTGGTAGTGAGTAAAGAAACACCTCTCTACTGTGGATTATTGTTGAATAACGTTAATTACTTAGCTTCTTATGACTGTTTTCTTGACCTCTAGGAGGCATAATCTTCCAGAGGGATATTGGTATGTAAGAAGAAATGTTTCTTTAATTTAAAAATGGATTGATAAGGCAGAGATACACTTTGGTAAACAATCGTGAGCTTATCTAAGTGAAAGTATTTTGAAACAGCTGATACTCTGGGATTGTCCAGTGAGCTCCAGGTGTAAAAAGTGGCTTTGTGAATCCTGATGTTAATGAAAGATGGATTTTAATGGGCAGGAAAAAACAAGTATTCTGCAATTTAAAAAAAAAAAAAAAAAAGAGCACTGCAATTACAAAATGTGGTTTCACCCTTGTGGAATGGGTCAAAAGTCTTCTCTTTAGGCCATTCAAACAAGTTTTCTGGTCAATTTTTAAAGCAGAGTTGAGAGAGTGGAAAACCACAGAATAATAGGAAAAATTGAAATGATCTAATAAAAAATCAAAAGACATGACTTATGGCTTTGCTCTAAATATTCTTCTTTTGTGCTAATATGCTGCCGCTGGTTTTAAAATAAAGCTTTGCACAGCTCAACGTTTTACAAAAGTCTGCTCGCTTGTATTCCTGTTACATTAATAAGCAAACATTTTTATTACATAGAGCCCTGCCAGGCCAAACTGGCAGAAGAAGTTGGGTTCCCATGTGTTTTATACAGGCTCTGCTGAAGACAATTGGTTGCATGGGTAGTCTAATATCAAACCTTTGCAGTAAGGATAGAGCTTCCACACTCAGATTTAAGGCAGAAATTGCAGGTCTGACAACTGTGGGATAAAGGAGAGGTATGTCTTACTTGCGGGTGAAAAGCATCCTAAAAGGAGATCCTTGAGAGACAGTGAAAGTAATAAGGCTGTTATACTTCAAAAAATAAATAGTCTCTGATGCGGTGTAGGGAGTTGGTGTGGTGTGTTTTTTCAGTGGAGAGAAGAAACTGGATCACTGATGAGGAGAAAATAGGGTAGAGTAAAACTTTGTTAGTTTAATACGTTTACAAGACAGCACACAAGATTGTTTTGTTTTTTTGCCTCATTACTCATTCTGCACCAGCGCTAATATGCTTGATTTAAACAGAATCTATGATGCTGAAAACGGTCTTGGCATAGAAATAACGGATGTATTTCCAACTCCTCACTTGAATGCATTGATTGTGAGGGGAAAAAAATCAGTTTATTTCCGGTCAGACTTTATAACTAACTCATTTTAGAAGAAGAAGCCATCAAATCTCTTCATTAATCTAGAAAATATATATATATTTTTGGCACAGGTTTTAGGATGGGGGGGTTGTTGGGAAGAAGCAAGGATGGAGCCTATTTGAATAACAGCCCAGTAGAGGGCAGTCTGGTATGAAGATTCTTAAAACCTTTGCAATGTCGTAGCTACTCTCTGAAAGAGAAGCACTTTTGGCTTCCAGCCTCTTTGTTTCTGTGGCATGTTCTTGCTTCCTCTCTAGACTCGTATAGCATATATCTCTTTCACAGTCAGGCAGTTACTCTGAAAGTTAATAACTTTATGTAAGAGCCTTTCACAGTTGGTAGTGTTAAAAGTCTGTATTGGCAGGAAAGAAAATAGAAATGAAAGAAGAGAGGAAAAAGGAAATAAAACTCCTTCCGGTCTAATTCCACCAGTGCTAAAACAGTACATCATTTTATGTTGTTGTCTAACATGCACTGTGTACAATCCCTGCATTGATAGGAAAAGTGACTGTTAAGGTTTACAGCTGTCAATTGACATCAATGGTTGGCAAGCGGGGAGGTGATCTTGCAAATTAAATTCAGACTACAGAGGAGTAAGCTTTGCCTGATGTGTGCTGGCTGTAGTGTGTCTTCATTGCTGGAACGTGGAAGTACAGAATCCACAGGGGAAGAATAAGCAGGATGCAGGCAGAGGACTAAAAACGTTTTTAGTTTGCTCAAGTGAGACTCACTACTGAACAAAACAGGACTGTGGGGTGTTTTTTGTTTGTTTTCGTAAAATCATATGCTGTCTTTGTCAAGGCTGAATTTGGAATAGAACTGTGGGTATTTTCTTTTAGCCCTTGCAGTGGATCTGGAGAGTTTTACCACCACCCAGGCAATCTTTCTGGCTGCAAGCTGGGCTATGGTAGAAAGTAATCTCTTACATAGCAAAATTCCTGTTGCCGTGGGGCTTAGACAACTTGCAGCACGCTGAAAAGCAAGCTGAAAGCCCCAGCAGAAATCTTGTGTGAAGTGTGTAGGCTGTTACCTCGTAAGACTACTAGTTTTGCTCAGTGCTAGATTTATGAAAGGGGATGCCTGTAAACATGCATATGGCTATGTTCTTATTCCGAATGAGGCTGTTCAGTGTTTTGTTGCAATTGGAACAGTTGTAATCATGATGATCTAGGGTCAAAATACCAGTTCTCTGATTTTGGTAGATCTCCTTCACCTGCAGGCTTAGTAGAGGCGCCGATGGATATGGATAGGAATGCTCTTTATACCAGTACACTCTTCCTCATTTATTGTATCTGACATCCAAGAATGAAAACACACCTGAAATCAGGGAATGGAATTAACGCCCAAAGAATTTGTCTGTCTTGGGGGTGGATGGAGAGAGCATGCCAGCATCTTGTTTACATATAAACAGGCCATATACTGCATACTGTATGTCAGTCCTGCTCTTCAAAAGGTAGTAAGTAGTTTCTCTTGGGCCTGATCCTGAAATCCTGCGTGCCTGTGATCACCTGTAATCAGGTCTTCTGAAATCAAGCTGGTTGAATCTGTTTGATGCAAATAGAAGACAAAATAATCATTTTTGGCCTTACAGTCCAGCTTTGGCGGACTGGATTGCACAGATAGTCCAAGAGGTTGCTTAGTGAGAGGGAGTTCTTGCACTAATTCTGGTCTTCTCAAAAGACTCCTAGAACATAAAATGCGATAGTTGCGCTCTGTGACTTTCCGTGACTTTGTGCACCAGTCAAAAGATAATTTCAGAGCATAGTATTATGTATTTTTCATTTAAAAAAAA